TGCGATGGCTCCTTCCGCCGCGACGCTCCTTTACCATCCACGCTTCAGTCTCTCTTATTACATCGCGGTGATAAATATGAAACGCACGGGTCGTGAGACTGGTCTGCCCGTGGAGAGAGGTTGATGAATAGTATTGGGATTATTCTGCCGGGTGGAAGATAGCGGTTGGGTATGTTTTAGCGGGAAAATCATACGTAGAGGGAAGAAGAGATCTTTTACTTTGGCTGTATCGTTTTCAAATTTCTTTCGTTAAATTAAGGTAGACAAAATGAAGAATTAAACTAGGGTAGAATTCTTTCACACGCTAAATCGTTCAACCCTTTCGTCTCTGTCGTCGTTCATTCCCGACAGCGGTAACACGGTCTCCGCGACTTGGATTCAAAATTCAGCTCTGTCAGTACGTCTGAATGTTTGAAAGGAAAGGGTCGTTGGGAAAATCGAGGTCAAGACGGTGTCGTTCCCGGGATGAAGCTGCAGGGGAAACCGATCTCGCTCCCTAGGTACCATCCCGCCTATATAAGACGAGGGAATCGACGTTACTGCCTGGACGATAAATATAAAATAGCTTCTTTAGCGATCCGGCAGGGCTTAAAGTCGCGTTTAGATCTCGTGGAAAGGCGGTCGGGAAAAATTTATCGAAACAATTCGCCGCGCGACATTCTACACCCGTTTGTTGCCCACTCGGAAACGTCTATCGGCATTGCGACTCTGAAAAACTGTCGAATTGTCCAGGTCGAACGCGTTCTCGCCTCGGTTATATCGAAAATTCAGCGTTTCAAACGGCGTATTCGTATTTCGAGGGAAACGACACGGTGTAAAACGTGAATCGATCGCCCCGCGGTAAATATAAAACCTGCGTTGATCTTACGTATCCCATTGCCGTCAAACTGGCACGAGAGTGGAACGATTTTCAAGAAGAGATACACCTTTCTCGAGATAGTTATTCTCGCAATTTGATTTTAGAGGTGCAACTTGTCTCCAAGTGTACACTCTTTGAACTAGCAAAAAATCGATGAAAGAGACAGAGATTAATTTTGGACCAGCAGGCAAGTGTATGTACGTAACTCCTGAACGGAGCAACAACGTTCCGTACGAAAACTGCACAAACTAACGTCGTAACAGCTAGGCGCAAATACAGACTGGTTCATTCAGAAATGTATCCATTGTGCCAGGGCGGGTAGCGGGAATTCGAACAAATTGTTGCCGGTGCACTTCACTTAGCAAAACCGTCAAAGGCCAGTTACAACAATGCACGCGTCGGTGCATATACAGCGCGATAGAAGAAGGGAGAGAGCGATGATGGATCCGGTCGGAGAACAAAAGAAACGAATTAAAGCGCGAGCGCGCGATGGAAGGTCAGTAAATTAAAATGTATGAAGAGAAAGCGACAGAGTGACAGAGAGAGAGAGAGAGAGAGAGAAGGGTGAGAGAAAGGGAACGTTATCGACAGGCGACGATGAAAGCAACGATAACACGGTGATTGCGGCGCGGCGTATTACCGCTGCCGCGATGAAACGCGACGATTAAATCGAAATTAATACTGTTCGAGGGAACCAAGGTTCGATTGCGCGTGAAAGTATTTCCGGCAGACGGAATTTCGTTCGCCGATGAATTTTTGTTTCCAACGATCAATCCGCAACCTGGTTCAACCAACGACCAGGTTTGCGGAATTGGAAAATCGTTCGTTGGAATCGCGGAAATCGAAAGACTTAAGCGCGACGTTTTCCCGTTTTCACCACGGTTGTTTTCCATTCGTCTCGACCACCACCGGGCTTTTGAAATTCAAAAAACTGTCATCCGCAGAGCGTGTTCCAATGGCGAACCTAGCCAGACTGAACTGGCGAATATAACGATATTGGCGAAGGCACCATTTTCTCGCACGTCACTTCCGTTGCCGATAGGGCGGACCTCGAGGGGTGACGTCTCCCTAAATAGGGCATGAATTCGAGAACCATTTGTACAGAAACTGTACACGGAAATTGAGTTGAACTTTTTTCGACCGTAAGCTACGTTTGTTACCTAGATATCGAAAGAATTTTTCGTAAAAAATATCGAAAATTGTGGGAAATATCGCTGCCGGGAAAGTTTCATTCAAAAAACGAAAAAAAATTTTGAAATTTACGAAATTAAGATAGCCAAGGCTTAAATCATACATCTATCTACACCCTGTCCAAATTTCAAGTAAATATGTCAATTACTTCTCAAGACGCAACAGTCAGACGAGTTTCATTCCCAATTTTCACATGGACCTTTAATTCCAGAAACGAAAAAAAAATTTGAAATTTGAAATTTACGAAATTAAGATAGCCAAGGCTTAAATCATACATCTATCTACACCCTGTCCAAATTTCAAGCAAATATGTCAATTACTTCTCGAGACACAACAGTCAGACGAGTTTCATTCCCAATTTTCACATGGACCTTTAATTCCAGAAACGAAAAAAAAATTTGAAATTTGAAATTTACGAAATTAAGATAGCCAAGGCTTAAATCATACATCTATCTACACCCTGCCCAAATTTCAAGTAAATATATCAATTACTTCTCGAGGCACAAGGTCCAGCATCCCAAATGACCCAACTTCAGAACACCACTCAGACATGATTTCTTCAAACCCGCGTAACTCCGCCAATTTTCAAGCTATCG